GGTCCATTTCCGCTAAATGATCTTCTGAATGCCAAAAAAGAAGTGAAAATGACTTTGTCAGAAATTGACGTTTTAACCCACTAAGCCTCGTTCGTTTCATTCATGACGCCGACTGTCCGCACAACAGAAGGCGCCAGTGGAGTGCGCGTGGAAAATAAGGTGAACGGTAGCCGAAAAAGGGAGCCACTCGTTGAAGCATGTTGATTGGTACGGGAAAGTATCATATGAGCTGCTGGAAGCGACGGATGGTGTACTGGAGAGCGATGTGGACCTCGAGTCGGCACGACTAGGCTAGGTTGGTGGTGCGGATCCTCGAAGCGTTGCCGTTTTTGCATTTTATGCTACCACTTCCAGATTGACTCCGTATTGCACCAGGGCCAAAGCAAGTGCCTGACTGGCTCGAGTCGACCATTCCCGAAGCGGCAAACATTTGATTTACATTACACACCACATCGAACTTTCATAGGCATTTGCTTTGAAAAGCAGCCAAAGCAATACAGCTGTCAAAGCTTTTTCATACATTCCCTGGACAGCCTTGCACCTACAAGTTGACCCTAGCAAAAAAGGCTCTTGACCTCAACAGGTATGCTCCACCGCGATTCTGTATAAGTGCCCTCTCTGTCGACTCTATCTGCTCATCCGGGTCTCATTAACAAAACGTTCAGGCCGGAGTTGNATAGTACCACAGTCAGGCTTTTGAAATTCTCAAAATCACTCGTGTCTGTAGTATTATTGCGAGAACATGCCTTTTCATGGGACCGAGGTGGTGTAGTGGCAAGTGGCGCATTATCTCACACGCACGGAGTTTGAATCCCGGGTCGATGCCCGCCTGAGCCAACCAAGCCTTCCATCCCTCCGCGGTATGTTAATTTGTACCAGACTTGTCTGGGAGGTTAGAAGCACTGACTTGTTTATCGGCTGGCCACCGCAAGTCATTGTATGGGCCACATACGCACTCATTATGCAACTACGATTCTGAATGGAAGTCGAGTGCGGGGGCGCATTCCTCAAACAGGATTGATTAACGCCAAACACTTCATCCTTTATTCTTTTGTGGCTTTGCGCAGGAGGGATTTCCGTCAGCAAGGAAGAATGACTGAGTGGAGATAAAATTCATTTTGTAGGGGATATCGCTGGTCCTGGTCACGACCATGACCAGTCAGGCACTTGCTTTGGCCCTGGTGCGATATGGAGTCAATCTGGAAGTGGCAGCATAAAATGCAAAAACGACAACCCTTCGAGGATACGGACCACCAACTTAGCCTAGTCGTACCGACTCGAGGTCCACATCGCTTTCCAGTTCACCACCCGTCGCTTGCAGCAGCTCATCCGCGGACAGCTCATATGAGACTTCCCCGTACCATTCAACATGCTTCAACATGTGGCTCCTTTTTTAGCTACCGTTCACGTTATTTTCAATGCGCGGTCCACTGGGGCCTTTTACTGTAAGGACAGTCGACGCCATGAATGAAATGAAAGACGCTTAGTGGGTTAAAACGGCCATTTCTGACAAAATCATTTTCACTTCTTTTTTGGCATTCAGAAGATCATTTAGCGGAAATGGACCATAATTCCTTACATCATGCAAAAAACCATTTTCGAAAGACGTCCCACGCTCTGAAAGACCTTCCGTGTTCGAGAAGTGAAGGATTTCTGCAGGTTTGCCTCCATTTGATTCACTGCATCATAGGAATACGAAAAATGAAATAGTACTGTAGCATGGTTGACGTTCTGGTACCGGTGCAGACAAGAATAATCTACTCATTGAAGGTCTTAATTCCTGCTGACGTTTGCGGAATCTAATGATCACTGAACAGTTCCATTACGCTCTTTTTTCGATGCGATGCAGTTTCGGCTTTTAATATTATTTTGCTTTCACAGAAATGTTTTTACGGTGTTTAATCCTGCCTATTACTTTTACGGAACAGCTTTCAAAGCCTTTGATCTTACTTCTTATCTTTCACAAAAAGTCTGGAACTGTAAACCACTGAAAGATTAGGATTAAAAGTGCTCACTGATCACTAGAATTCACGATAGACATCAGAAATTGGAACCCTTATCGGGAAGGATGTTTTTGCTACGTGCAGCACTGCAACGATGCCATAATATGTACTATCGTATTTCTGTTATCATATAGTAACATGAATGATGTAGAAGCAAAACTCTCGAAATGTTTAGTAGAAATGTAAAGCAGGAGTTAGAGTCGAAGATGGGTTCCCAAACAAAAGCTGATTGAACTTTTGAGCCTTTTCGTTGATTTTCTCAAAGGCAGAGTTCGCGAACATCTTGTGTTATCCAGATTTTGACGAAAGATGAAAGAGAAGATGGAAAATAATGCGATGGAGGCAAAGAAAGAATCGGTGTTTCCAAAGTGATCAAAGGCTTCGAAAAAGGCGTTGAAAAGGGGCTGGACGAGAATAAGTTTAGAAAAATGTAGTAGAATAGGTATTAGGATTAGCTATACAATGTGAGTCATTGCGTACGTGTGGATCTGAGTGTGAATAGCTGACTACAGTGAGGAAACACGTCTTTTTAAATTTGTTCACTCATAAGCATAAGTAAACAAAAACACTCTTAACAGGAAAGTGACCTCTTCTCTTTCATTCTTCTACGGAAGAAAACTAGGTGGAGGAGAGCAGTAGCGAAAAGAAGTACAGAGAATTACGGAATAGGAGTAAAGCATCATCTCACTACCCGACGATCGGCTGATTCCATGCTGAGCGTGTAGGTCCTGCTGCGAATATTACAAACTGTAACGCCTCTTCAGCTCGTCTAGCATAACATCGGTCGATGGAAGTGGCATCTGACGAATTCGGTAATTGGACTCCTATAATATTATGCCTGAACTTTTGAGATTTGGGCCCGACAGCGTCATGAGGGCCACTGGGTAATCCTGAGAGGGCATCGAAAAAACCTTTCTCATCGTAAATTGTGAATTCAATTCGCCTATGAAAGGAGGTAAGTTAGGAGAATTTTGATGGACCATTCATTTTATCAGATTTAAATGTGCTCCCTGGAACTAAACTGCTGCATCATTTGGGTGAAGACAGGGTATCCAATCTCACTAGAACCATCTCTCTTTTGATACAGATAATCGCCACGCCAAGGAATCGAAGAACAGGTGGACAGACACTTGCTCTTCGATTCCTTGGCGTCGATAATGCGACTCTGTGGTGACCACTCGAGCAGGGTGAGCACTGATTGTTTCCAAACGTCAAACTATTAAGACATTCTTCAGCATGATTGTCAATCTTCTTTGCAAGAGCTTTGACCAGAGGAATTTGCATGCCTGCAGGGAAATGGGTACCCTACTGATGCCTGTCAAGCAAATCGGCTGTCATCGCGACGCCATGTAATACAGGTGAATAGCCGCTTTATTTTTGATTTTCTTCGCGACGACATGCAGTCGTTCAGTACGGTAACTTGATGACAATCGCTCACTAAGCTCTAGAGAAAGAAAGATCACTTGTGACGTTTTGTTCGAGGGTTATTTATTTTTTTCATAAGCCGTACTTCTTCAGAGCAGATCCGACAGTTGCCAGATTAGTCTGCATCTGTTCTGTTATACCGATTCGACTGCTAGAATCGTTGTTGGGCACTTACTGTGGCCGGAACTGGATGTCAGATCGGATGGTGAAAATGCAACCTCGTCGTCAAGATATTTCTATCAAAAAACTGATGAAGAGAATCTGCGAGGACACAGGCCTCGACAATCAGCAAAGTTTAGGTACTCTCCAAGCTGATCAGAGTAGGACGTTGTACAAGATTATGACGACGAAAATGGTGTCCAAGAAAAATTTGGACGAGTTCCCACTCAAGGGGGATTGCGTAAAGAGCTGGCTACGGTAAGCAACAAATGTCAAAACTTGCTTTCCAGTATAGCTATGAGTCAGGACCCACCAAAATTTTGGGCAAGTGGGACCTTCATGTGTTGTTCTTTGCTGTTTATGCCACTTTTTGGAAAAATTCCTTTCTGTGATCAGCTGGTTGGATTCTCAACACATATGCTCTAATGTGAGAGTACAGCTCTTGAGTTGGCGTCAAATACGGTCAATTCTAGGCATGATATATTTTTCTACAATGGCGATAATACATATATGATCTCTACAAAGCCATATCTAGACCGTTTTTCGATTCGACAATGGGCTCTCCACGGAGACAAGGCTCCGTCCCAATGAGGAATCTCACGACTCATTACTACCGTGGACTGTGCCTTCCGGAATCTTTGAGTCGATGTCGGACTACACAAAGATGTTCCCGTTTTGCAACGAAGTATCGGAGACTTGTTGGTGATTCTCCAGACCCTTCCCTGTCATCATATGTAGGTAAACAGTTTGTGTGTAGAAAAATGCAATTCGACTACAATTTGTAGTAATTGTCCAAGTAGTAATTCAGTTCTGTTCCTGAAGCGAAAATCTAATTCTATGAGTTTGGGATTAATTATCTTCAACTTTTGTACAGCGAGTTCCTTGATGGCGGAGCCAATTTCAGTGGACTGTACCGAATTTCCTCTCAAATTTGACAGTTTTCATCTCATTGTGAACAAACGATAGATCAAATGAAGATTTCAATGCCTATACACCCAAATATTAGGCAACCAAACAAGTTCGGGCGGTTTTTTTAATTGATTATTTTTATGCAATGTATTAAAAAAACTGATTGTGGTGGGAGGGTAAGATTGCATATGCCTTAAAACTTCTTCTATGCAAAATCATTTAGTGTGTCCTATAAGTTTAAGTAGTGCGTTTTAAGTTTAAAATATTCAAGTCAAGTATGGCTGTGTCGAATGAAATAATTCGCGCCTGTCTACCTTACAGGTTTGAACTTCGCACCAAAGCTGCGGAAGCTTGCCGTTAGATATGCGATGCTTTAGGGGAAGACACCATAGCAGAATGGACGGGTCAGAAGTGGTTTGAAAATTTTCTCCTGAAAATGAAAACCTTGAAGATGAACTTGAAGATGAACCAAGATCTGGAAGATAGCCCACCGTCTATAATTTGATTTGATTTGATTTGATTTATTACACGACTGATTCGTGTGAAAATGAACAACGGGAAACAAGCAAAATCAACTCAAAACAATAAAAATCGACCGGAGAACTAACTTATGCGTAGTTACCATACCAAAAAAACAAGAGGTAGAAAAAAGCTATAATATAACGAAGAAGTGATGTACAAGAGTAAAACAAAAAGTGAAAAAAAAACAATATTGAAAAAAACAATAACGAGGATATCAAGCTGGCAATCGAGCAGGACTCCAGGTTCACATTTGCATCAACTTGGAAAACGTTGAAAGTTAAGCAAATTGGTACCTTATGAGTTGAGTGAAACGAACAAGCTACAGCGCCTCACCATTTGCTCTTCATTGCTTTCCCGCCACAATTTAGTGCCATTTTTTTGGCCGAATGTTAACATGCGGCAAAAATGGATTATGTACTGCAATAAAAAGCGCACATATCATTGGCTATCCAGTATCAATGACTACTAAACAAAGCATACACCAACAAAAGATTTTACCGCACTGGTGGACTACAACAGGTACTATTCGCTATGAGCTCCTACCAAGTGGACAAGCAGCCATTACTGCTGAGATATGCTCAACTCAATTGAACAGAGTTTTGGTTGCTCTTCGCCGAAAACAAACAAATTTGGCGAACAGAAAAAGAGATGTATCCCACAAAAAGAACGCCAGGCCGCACACAGCAAGAATCAAAACTCTGGAAACTCTAGCACGTTTACATTGGGAGATTCTGTCTCACCCTCCGTACTCACCAGATCTTGCCCCAAGCGACTATCACCTGTTTTAGGCCCTGGATTATCACATAAGGAATCGGCAGTTTCAAATAGAGAAGAGCTCGAAAGGGAGTTCAATGCATTTTTCAGCTCTAAGACTCAAGACTTTCATAAAAATGGAATTACCAGCTTGTTTCACGATAGGAGATAGACATTCTTGCTGAAGTGTGGGCTTTCGCGGCATTACGGTCAATGGATGGGCAACACCCGATTCGTGTCATCACCTTCTGCCAGGCACTCCAAGGGAAAAATGCGTGTGTAGTGGCTCGAAATATCATCAATCTATTCGATGCTAGCACTGCTCACCAATCAACGGTCAACAATCGGTTGGATCGCTTCACTGCGGGA